GAACCACTTTATCCACCTGCAGGACGAACATCAGCACGGGGTTAAACATACACGTGTGCAAGAGTTTTCCTGAGATCTTTCATGAGTGCAATTTACCCACTTAAAGTACGCAGTTCAGTGGTTTCTGGTCTATCTGCAGAGCTGTGCAGCCATCAAAGATGACCATCAGTTTCAGAACATCCCACCCATCCGGTAACCACTTCTCACCATCGCTTGCCCCCTCCTCCAGCCCCTGGCAAACACCACTCTGCTTTCTGTGTCAATGGATTTGCCGACTCTGGACTTTCCACACCAATGGAATCACACAACAGGTGGTCTCTATGCCTGGCTTTGCCGCTTAGCATCATGTCAAGGTCTGCGCACTTCATAGCATATTGCATTAGTCAGCTCTTCATTGCTGTGACAAACTACCTGACAAAAACAACTTAAAGGAGGAAAGTGTCATTTTTTCCTCATGGTTTTACAGGTCTCAGCCCATGGTTGTCTGACTCCACTGGTTCTGGCCTGTGGTGAGGCAGAAGGTCTCAGTGGCACAGAGGAGCAAACCTGCCCGGTGGTGGCAGCCAGGAAGCAGAGAGAGAGGGAGGAAGGTGCTAAGGACCTGATGCAACCTTACAAAGCATGGGGACCAAGCCTTCAATGCGGGAGCTTTGGGGACACTCCAGACCCAAGCCATCACACAGTGTCAGTGTTTCACTCCTGTTCCTGCCTGAGTAGTACTCCATGGTACGGACAGGTCACACCCTATCCATCTGCCCACAGACGGTGGACTCCACATGGTTTCTGCTTTCTGGCTCTGTGGGTTATGCTGCCTGGAGCATTCATGTCCAGGTTTCTCTGGAGATGTGTATCCATGTTTCTTGTGGGTCTATACCAGGCAGCAGAATTGCCGAGGCCTGATGGTGGCCATGTTTGGTTGAGGAACTGCCAATCAATCTTTTTAAACAACCACTTGCAGAGAGAATCAGAATCAGAACAGGCACAAAGAGCATCCATCCATGGCAGTGCCCGCCGCCTGGGCCTGAGAGCTCTGGGGAGCCTGGTGCCCAAGGGGCAGCCACCCTGGTCCTGCAACCTCATCAAAACACTCGAACCACAAGCTTTTGGCTTAATGACGACACATACAACCTCACAGGTTTCAGATGCTCCAAGTCCTGCCCTTCTACCCCAGAAGCACCTAATTTAATCATTTGTAAGTGCAACTCTGATGGGAGGGGAGCACATTAGAGAGTTGAGCCCCCGAACAAAACACTTCAGTGATCTTATTACGCTAGGCCAGAACCCTCTGTAGGGGGTGCGTACACTCCGCGGGATGCCACTCGGTCTCACAGAGGAGTGACACAAGCCACGCCAGGACGGACCTGGGAGCATCACATCAAGGAAAGGAGCCAGACACAGAAGGTCAGAGCTCCACAGTGTCACACAAGTGCAGTCGTTAGAGTCGTCAAGTTCATGCAGACAGAGTGGAACGGCAGGTTCCTGGGGCTGCGGGGAGGGCAGGGGGGTCTGAAGGACGTGGAGTTTCCGTTGTGCAAGATGGAGAGTTCTGGGGATGGTGATGGTCCCACCATCAAGTGACCGCCACAGAAATATGCGCTTAAAAATGGTGACAAGAGTAAATTCTACATTGTGTTTTAGCAGCATTTTTAAATGATCAGGACGGCAAGCCTTGTATTATGAATGTTTTACCTTTTTTTTTTTTTTTTTTTAAGAATTTCAGAAAACACAGAGAAAGCCAGTCAAAGGCCGCGGCAGCCCCTGGGAGCCGGCTCCGCACTCACCTGCACCGGCAGGAGCTCGTAGCCGCTCTCGGACAGCACCTGCTCCACCGCGTCGTTGAAGTCGGGGTAGCGGACGCGAGGGCAGTCCAGCCCCGGGAACAGGTCACTAATCAGGCCCAGGAAAAGAGGGACGTCCTCGAACACAAACTTGGGCAGGTTCATGTCCCGCAGGGCCCTCATGAGCACCACGTCCTGAGTGCGAGAACACAGATCCCCAGGAGGCTGGAGCCGGCCTGGAACCCGCTCCAAGTGGGCACCTGAATGCCCTCGCAAAGGCCACATGAGCCTTCAGAGATTTCTATGCCAGGCGCGGGGGCACATGCCTGCAATCCCTATGGCTCAGGAGGCTGAGGCAGGAGGATCGAAAGTTCAAAACCAGCCTCAGCAATTTAGTGAGGCCCTAAACAACTCAGTGAGACCCTGTCTCTAAATAAAATATAAAAAGGGCTGGGATGTGGCTCAAGAATTAAGCACCCCTGGGTTCAATACCCAGTATTAAAATTTTTTTTCTATATATTTACATGCTATACATTTTTACATGTTTAATATGTAAACATATAATAAAATATATACCATATACATCTATATGATTTTTCAAAACTTTTAGGTATTTTATATAAAATTGTATAATCACATGCAATTTCAAATAAGACACAAAAGTTTTTGAGTAAAATTTTGGAGATGAAACAGAACATTTTATATAGAATACATGGTTTATTTTTTAAGTGCGTGCTTCATATTTTTCAAATTTTTCTTTTTTTTAAGAGAGAGAGAGAGACAATTTTAATATTTATTTTTTAGTTTTCGGTGGACACAACATCGTTGTTTGTATGTGGTGCTGAGGATCGAACCTGGGCCGCACACATGCCAGGCGAGCGCGCTACCGCTTGAGCCACATCCCCAGCCCATTTTTCAAAAATTTCTATGAAAACAAAAATCCGCAAGTGAAATTTATAAAAATGGAATATAAAATATCAAACTGTACATAAAATGAAAACTCAACACAGCCAGGCCAGGTGGCCGCTGGAGAAGCGCGGAGACTGGCGTCCACCGAACGGCCCCAGCAAGGACTTTGGGGACCCCACAAGAAACACACAAAGGAAGCTTCTCCCACTTCCTTTGCAAAGAGAAAACGGGGTGGGAGGGTGTGGCCCGCTGACAGCGCTGTGTATATGAGTGCGTGGATGCCACGCTGACCCCCAATACACACCATGAAGGCCTCCAGGGGTCAGGGTCTGCCCCGCCGCCACCCTGAGACCACAGACCCACCGTCACTACCCAAGGATCATGATTCAGGCACTGGCCAGAGGACACTGAACTTGACCCTAAGATACCAAGTCCCAGCAGAAGGTGATGCCTTGGGTGGGAGGCCACAGCGAGGCCCCATAGGAAAGGAAGGGCCCCCCAAGACCTGGAGCTCACGTAGGGTTCCAGCCCTCCTCCCCGCCTCTGCCAGGGCGCCCGAGCCCGCGGAGCCGCAGCCCACCTCCTGCAGCTCCGAGGAGCCCCTCTTCAGCTCGCCGGCCATCACCAGCACGGACTTCAGCGCGCGGAGCCCGAAGTCATAGTGGTGCTGCTTGGACAGCTGCTCCTGGGCCAGCTTGTACAGGACGGTCATCTTCTTGGCCAGCGTCTTTGTGCAGAAGACGGGGAAGAAAGCAAAAGACGGAAGAGATGAGGGGAAAGCCAAAGAGCACCGCCGTCCCCTCGTGGCTGGAGCCAGGGAGGCCCCTCTAGACAAGCACCGCTGGCCTCCAGCCTTCGAAGTCCAAGGGCAGAGGGTGAAAGGGAGCTGCCTTTCCAGAGAGGATTGTCCCTCCAGGCTGGGGACATCATCACCACCTGGATCCAAAGCTCGGTCCCAGCAACGCGTTACACTTGGAAGGATGCTTCCTGTTCATCCGACCTAAGCGACCACCCAGGTTTCTTCTGTGCCCGTTTAGAGGACAATTCAGTCACCTGGACCACACCAAGGCATGAAGCCCGCGGGTCCAAGGCCAGTGCAGGGGCTGGGGTCATGGACGCAAACTAGAGGTCTCTTCTTGCCAGCTCAGAATCCTGACGGCCTAATGAGCAGCAAGAGCCTTTAAAAAACATTGCAGGAAAGCAACATAACAATGCTCACTGCTAAAAGTATTCTCTATTCTGTACCTTTTCCAGAACCTTCTGGAAATATATATGTCATACTCTGATAGAGATATTTTGAAAGAGAATATTATAAAAGACAGAGAGGTGTATATATTCTACATAAAATATATACGAGTGGGCATCATGGCACACACCTGTAATCCCAGGGACTTCGGAGGCTGAAGCAGGAGGATGGCCAGCCTCAGAAATTCAGTGAGGCCCTAAGCAACTCACTGAGACCCTGTCTCAAAATAAATAAATAAATATAAATAAAGGGCTGGGGATGCAGCTCAGTGGTAAAGCACCCTGGGTTCAATCCCTGACATTAAAAAAAAAAAAGACATCTACACACACATATCATGTCTTTGAAAAAAGATAAGTGCCAGATCTACATATAAGAGGTGTGTGTGTGTGTGTGTGTGTGTGTGTGTTTCTGTGTGTATATATATGAGAATACCATAAAAGATAAGTATGTATATATCTTATCTATCTGTGTATATTGCTCTGCTTTTTTTCCCTTTATATGTAATTTTGGGGGGAGTTACCAGGAATTGAATCAGGGGCACACTACCACTGAGCACATCCCCAGCCCTATTTTTTAAAAACATTTTTTAGTTGTAGGTGGACACAATACCTTTATTTTATTTTTATGTGGTGCTGAGGATCAAACCCAGTGCCTCACGCATGCTAGGCAAGCGCTCTCCCACTGAGCCACAGTCACAGCCCCCCCAGTCCCATTTTATATTTTATTTATTTAGAGACAGGGTCTCTTGTTTTTGCTGAGGCTGGCTTTGAACTCGCAATCCTCCTATCTCAACCTTTCCAGCTGCTGGGATTACTGGAATGCGCTGCCTCACCCAGCTTTATGTGTATTTTTAAGCCACGTATCTCAGGGGCATTATGCTGAGTGAGAAGCCCATCTCAAAGGGCCACATGTTGTTTTATCCAGATATAGAACATTCTTAAAGTGACTGGATCACAGTGCTGGAGGAGTCCAGGTGGGGAGGGGCAGGAGGGAGTGCCCAGTGGAGCTTCGATGCCTCCACATCCCGAGTGTGGTGACGGTGACTCCTGTCCACACGTGTGACCAGAGGGGCAGTCCATCCAGGCTGTCCTGAGTTACCAGCTCCGTTCCTGGGTCTGTTTGCTGGTTCCAGCAGTGCATTGCGGATGTGTGTGGGGACCCAGAGACCCCGAGTTACTCCTGTCACCCTCTTTTCGGTTGTAAATAAGCCCAAGTGTGCAAGTTAGGATGTTAGAGAGGAGGGAGGAGGAGACCCACAAGGCCAAGCTGCCCATGGCCCCGGCCCACCTTGGCCAACAGGAAGCCCTCGGAGAACAGCATGATCTCGCAGATCTGCTGCAGGTCAGGGACGATGACCACCACGGGCCGGAACAGGGCCTTCACGGACTCAGGCAGCTCCGTGCGCCCCGCGTAGCCGGGATTCATGGTGATGAAGATGCCCATCCGCGGGTCCAGGGTGATCTCCTGTCCTTCAAACTGGGGGAGACAGGAGAGGAAGGAGGGGGTTATGCGGCTGGCTCACTCACCCAGGGAGGGGAGGCTCGGGCCAGCCACGGGGCTATTTATCTTCACATCAAGAGGAGCGGACCCCATTTGTCTCCTTGAGCCTTGGCAGACCGCTAAACTCTCTGAACCAAGGAGCCCAGGCTGGGAAAGCACGCAGGCCAAGGCCACTGGGGGTGCTCTGTGATGCCCAGTAGGTCACCTCACTTCTCTGTTTCCCTTTCCCCCAAAACAGGGATACAACCTGCCCAAAAGCATAGTTGTAGCAATAAATGGGATAACGTGCAGGAAAGCAGCCAGCATGACCGGTCACCCGAGGACCATTTCCACTCCTCCCTCCTCTGCCTGTCCCTGTTTCCATCTCCACCCAGGCTGGGCACAGGCCTAATGGGAAGCTCAACCCTTCCTGAGAATCCCCTCCACAGGTCCCAGTGAGTTGCAGACATCTCCCTCATCTGAAGCTGAGTCCCAGTGGTCTCTCTCCATGAATTTCCTCTCCACCGAAATTTTGATATTTCCTTTCTTTCAAATGTCCACCAGGTAGAAACAGAAATGTTTATTTTTAGGAGGTGCAGGCTGCATGGACAGAACGTCAGCCATGCAGACAGCAGACTCCCCCAAAAGTGAGCCCACCGTCTTGCGCCCCCGATCCACACTGAGCCTGTCCTCCAGATTCCCCAGGATCCCACCTGAAGCCCAAGTGATCCTTTGGAAAAGATTGGCAGGCCTGCCCTTAAAAACCCAGTTTCTAGGGCTGGGGTTGTAGCTCAGCGGTAGAGCGCTCGCTTAGCATGCACAAGGCCCTGGATTCGATCCTCAGCACCACATAAAAAGAAATAAGTAAAATAAAGATATATATATATTTAAAAAAAAAACAAAACAGTTTCTACATGTGCCACAAGTAGAACTTCCCTCCCACAGCAGGGCGCGCAGCCTGAAGCATTTCAGAGCATATTTTAAAGCAGTCTATCCAGAACCTTCACTGGAGTCCTGGAAGCAGGTACCCAGTGCTCATGCTCTCTCCACAGTGAGCCCCACCAAGGTCTGGGGGCGGCAGGCCGGATGGAAGGCCACTGTTCATGCTGAGCCTCCCAATGGGGCTCCAGAGGGCCTCGGAGGGTGTGTAGGAGTAAAAGGGAAGAGAGGGACATGCGAGGTGTCACTGTAGGGTGGGTGGGTGAGTCTGCAGAGCAGGGAGCATGAGGTGACAGGAAGCAGAGAGCTGCCCCCAGGCTACCTAAATTCTACAAGATGCTGCTTGTCCCCACTCACCCGCGTGCTGCAGCTGAAGGGGACTCTTCGAACTTGAGTCTGCAAACATCTTGGGCAGGGAGAGTTGGTGAATTCTCAAAATTTTTTTTGTTTTTAATTTTGCCTCTCACTTGGAGAGCAGCCTTCTCAGAGCTGTTTGTAACAACACCAGGAATTTGCAAGCACCCAGGCAGCACTCGCCATGTGCGGGGACAAGACGGAAGGACACAGCAACTTCTGAAGTCAGGTTTCCTCAGACTGGGGGACACACCAGGGATACTCCCTTTCCTTTAAGGGGTCTGCATGTGGCTGACCCGAGAACCCCATGCTACCTGACTGACAGTGTGTCCACAAGTCTTTCCAAGCCCCTGGGATGTGTCCACCCAGAACCAGAGAAGATGGTGCCATCGCAATCAGAACGCAGAAGTCGGTGAAGGCTGGTCTCCACCCGCAATCCGGTTCTGCAGCAGGTTTCCCTACAGGGTCCGACCCAGGCGCCCCTGCCATGCCCACCTGGAACGTGGCCAACTGGTGGATCAGGGCGTTCCGGATGGTCTGGATCTGGGACGAGATGACCGACAGCACCGAGGCGTCGATGCGGTTGAACTCATCGAAGCAGCCCCACGCCCCACACTGGGCGAGGCCCGAGAAGATCTTCCCCACCGCCTGGAAGACAAGAGACACCACACAAGGGCACTTCCTCCCTTGAAGCTGTGAGTGACACGCGAATGGATACATTTTCCAAATACAACAAGATTGGCAGAGAAGCAGCCCACCAGCCACTCCGCCAACTGATCTTCCTGGCAAGATGTCTAGGGCCTCTCATGGGCCAGCTCACACTTGGGATTTTACACATCGAGATTATTTTGTCTACAAAACTCCAGATTTCTCACTTCTCTTGAAATGCTGTAAAATCTAGCAACTGTGGGCCCGATTTCCCAAGTGGAGATAATGAACCACAGCGGAACGGGCACCCTCTAGACACCTAGAGGGCTGTCCTCCATTTGGCCTCAGTCCCTCCCCATTGCCTCTGCCCTATCCCTCATTCCCTGCAGGCATGGAAGTCTGGGACTCCAGCTCTGCTGTTGCTAACAAGGCAGGCATGTTTTAGCTCTGAGACTGCTGGTGAGAGGTTTTCTAGTATGTTCTTCCAGCAGTCACTGGTCATCTCATGGATGACCCGGAGGTGACGCTCTCTGCAGAACATGACAGCACCCAACGCAACAGCAAGGCCTTACTTTGTAATCCATGCCTTCTCCACAGTTGGTCACGACACAGAGAAGGCCCAGAGCTTTGGCGAGGTCCTTGGTGGTCTCAGTTTTGCCAGTACCTGCAGGGCCAGCAGGGGCCCCTCCCAGGTACATGGACAGGGCCTGTTCAAGCCAAAAGAAAAGTGTCATTTCCAGACTGATCACTGTGACAACGTGTGGGACATATACACAGATGGATGGTTAACGCCAGGACAACAGGGGAGAGCATCTGGGCAGCTGGAGAAGCGTCCTTTCTGGCATCTCTGAGGGAGCTGTGACTGGGCCCAGCAGATCCCCCAGGAGTGTGGGTGTCCTCTAGTCCATTGAGGATGGGAGGGGAAGAAGGGTAGCTGCAGGACCCAGCCATGAGCCACAGCTGGGTGGCGCCTCCCACCCGTGGTGCTACTGGGCCTCGGGCCTCAGACCTAGGACAGAGCGTCCAGCTGCCGGGCCTCTGAGCCACACACCGCCCTCCTGGCTCTCCAGCTCTCAGGCAGAGACCAAGGGACCAAGCAGTGTCCAGAGCTCAGGAGCCAATGTCTCACACGAGTCTCCTCCTGTGAGTGAGGGTGAGGGTGTGCACATGTGTGAGTGTTCAAGGGCGTGCACGTCTGAGAGTGAGTGTGTGTGTGTGAGTGTGAGGAAGAGAATGAGTGTGGAGTGAGTCTGAGTGTTAGTGTGAGGGTATGTGAGTGTGTGTGTACAAGAGCGTTTAAGTGCATGTGAGTGTGAGGGAGAGACGCTGTTTTGTGCAACCTGTCGCCTGTGTGTCTGGAGATCTCCAATTCCCATAAGGTCAGGGGCTATTTTCCGGGAGATAAAGGACTGTCTCAGCACGGTAACCAGCGTGGGTGTCATCCTCGCCCACGTCCCCCAAGCCCCATGTGGTGATATGGAGGCAGCCCTGGGCTCTGGTGCCCACACGGTGGGTGTGAGACACTGCTGAGGAGCCGTAGCTCAGCCGAGGCCTGCAGGCTGGCCTGCGCAGGCCTGCCCTGGACAGGGCCTCTCCTCTTTTCGGGGAGACACCATCCATTCCCAAGGCTGTTTGCTTGAGCAGATCACCCGCACGACAGCTGTCACGTAAAGTACGCATCCCCACTCGCTTGTCCTTCCCGACGTCCCCACATTTAACATCTCTGCACCTTTCCTTGCACCTCTCCTGTCCACCCCCCACTGCACTGGGACCAGTGTCCCCAGGACTAAGCAGCCAGCTGGAAACTGGTTCCTGAGGACGTCCCAATGGCTCCCAGAGAGGACACCCCCAGGCATCCCACCTCCCCACGTGTCAACATGCTTCTGAGATGTCAAAGCAAGGCCCTCCTTGACTACTTTGACCACCACCACACAGAAGCCACCGTCACCCACCCAGGCTGGCAGTCACCTGCGTGAGCGTCAGGTAGATCCGGTCTGTGAGGGGTGTGATGACCAGCCTCCCATTGAGGCCCATGTACTCGTAGCCGTAGCTGAAGGTGCCCGTGCACTGGCGGATGTACAGCTGGTCTGGCTCCCGGTCCCAGTAGAAGCGCAGCTGACTCTCCCACTCGAACTCCCGGGCCTCGAGAATGCTGGACGGCAGGTCAAGGAGCGAGAAGGAGGCCGGTTAGAGGAGGCCAGGGAGGGACAGAGGGAGCCCCACAGTGCGCCACATCCTTGGAAGGGACCCACCTGCCTCGGATGAAGGAGTCGACAATGTCCCGGGCGTGCACATCGATGATGAGAACCGTGTTGTATTTCTTCCGGTCATTTTTGCTCAGGGACTTGGTGATCCGCGTCACCAGCTCATCGATTTGCCTGTGCATCTTCTTGCCGTAGTTCTTCATGGCCTGCTTCTCGCCAGCCTGCACCTTGTGGAAGACGTCCTCCACCTCCCAGGTCCACCACACCTGGCTGGCGGCCAGCACCACCATGCCCTGGTACAGCAGCATCCAGTCCACTCTGTGGACACAGGACGCCTGTGAGCCTTGCACCCACCCACAGGGCACGTCTTCCTCTGATCTCGAGCAGGAGAGACTGGCAAAGCCCCAGGAGAGAAAATGGAACTAGGACCCCTGGCCAGAGGGCAAAGCAAAGACCAGGCAAAAAACTACCCTCCAGAGAAATCCTGTAGGCTCCCGACAGCAAGGTAAGTCCCAGAGCACTTTAAAAATGTTTCCTCATAGGTTTTCAAAATCACTTACATTACAGGTGTATTGCAGGAGATTTTTAAAATTCCAACAAGGTATTTAACAAAAACTCTGCCCAAGCCTGTGGCAGCTTCCTGGGTTGTAGCATCCTGTCCTCCTTCCTCAGGCAGAGTTACCCTGAACTGGGGAGAAGGATGCTGGCCTTGCTTCTCCAAAAATGGCTCTAGGGACACAAGTCACTGTGCCCCTGGCTGTCATTGGCTAGCTCTCATGGACCTGCCTCGGGTCAGTGGCTATGCACAGAGATGCACTCGAGGGCCATCTGTGGGGCCCTGGGGGTTATGCAAGCTGGCCCCTGAACCACCTCCCACCATCCGGTCCAGGAGGATGCCCTGGGCAGCACTGCTGTGGTGACGGTCCAGACGGTTTTGTGCAGGCCCCGCTGCCCATATCGGGTCCATCTCGAAGAGCTCACCTGCTCCTGTCCTCGCAGTATCTGAAAATCGCCTCCTTGGTAATCAGCCTGTTGGTCCGTCTCATTTCGTTCAGCACGGCCGTCATCCAGTCCTCCACGCGGCCCTCGGCCCGGATGATCTTGCGGAACTCCATCACCTCGCCCTCTGCCGAGATCATGGCCGACACCAGCTTCTCCCCACTGTCCCCGTCGTGGAACCGCAGCTGGGCTATGTTGTCGTACATCTGCAACACAGCGAGAGGGCGACCATGATGCTGCTGCCTTCTGCTCTGGGATCGATCAAGGGCAGCTCTCAGACACCTGCTGCCCACAAGAGGGGAGCAGCCCTGGGAGCGGGAACCTTCAGGTCCCCCACACTGGGTGAAGATCCTGGGGGGTCTTCAGAAGAGGGAGAAGGAGAGGAGACTCTCCCCTAGCACACAGGGCTCCAAGGCACCTGGGGAACAGGGAGGTCCAGACACTGTGGGACAGGGAGCTCAATGTGGAGGAGGTGGCTGGAGAGGGACCACAGGAGCTGGAGACCTGAGGAGAATCAGGACCCTCTGTGCAGCGGGGTCATTCTGGGCAGCTAGCTCCTCCTCCCTCAGCCTGGAATAAACCCTGGGCCAGCTTCTCCAAGGTGACTTGAACCCTAGGCATCTGCTGACTAGGCACTGCTACTCTTCAGAGGAAAATGAGTCCTGTAGGGCCCAAGAGAGTACACAAGTCACTCTGCAAACCAGGAGGAGAGGACAGAGAGGCCGCGGGCTTTACAGAACAAAATCCATCTGGGATGTGCAGGAGCGGCTAGGGGAAGGGCAGGGCTTCCAGCTCCCTTCTGCCTCACTAGAGCAGTCAGAGCCTGTTGAGGGAAGTGGAAACAGAGCGTGCCCCACCCCCACCCCAAACCTCACCTGACAAAGGCAATTACCTGGAGGGAAAGTGGGGAAGGAAGTTTAGGAGTACTCTGTTAATTTAGAATAAAGGAATCTACTGGTTCTCAAACCTTGCCCCCAGGGGACACTGGTTTTGTCTAGAGACTTCTGGGTTGTCTCAGCTGCAAAGAGAGCCTGGGGATGCTACTGGACAGCCTGCTACACACAGAACAGGACACCTGCCTGCGACAGAGTCACCCAGCCCAACGTGGAGCTGAGGATCCCACCCTGCTGACACCAGATACAGACTTCAGAGGAGCTAGCCCCAGGGGCAGGGACGGTTTTCTCTGACCTTCTACCATGGTGGTTCTTGGATATTCGTGTTTGTAAAAGGGTAACAAGTTGTGAGGTGGAAGGAATCACAACAAACTCAGCACCTCTAGGAACAAGAGAGCATGACATTTCACAAGGGACATGGTGTATGACTATAGGGGGTTACGAGGGCCGTGGGCAAGGCTATTCAGACAACCGTGTTAGGCAGGCGCTGTTCTGAGTAGTAACTTGCTTCACCTTCAGAACAACCCCATGAAAACAGGTAACTATTACAGAGGAAAAAACCAGTGCTCAGAGAGGTCGCATTACTTGCCAAAGTTCACACAGCTCTTAGGGAAGAGCCAGGATTTGAGCTTAAGAAATCTGGTCCCAGAGTGCGTGTGCTAAACCACTGCTCTCCAGTGTTATTACATTAGCCTTTGTGACATGGGTGGCTGATGTTTTGTCTTAGTCTCTCAAAAAAAAGAGGGAGGAGTTGAACTTCCGGGAAAGAACAAGAAACAGCTGAGTTTTGGTGAAGCTTCAGACTTAAGCAAATGTTGCCAGGTTCATACTTCAAGTCAAAACCTCAGCAGTGTTCACAGTCCCAACCCTCTGGGGGACCTCGCTGCACAGGATGCCCAGGTGGACACCCCCGTGGATCCGGGCACGCCCACCTTGATCATGTGCTCCTGGACGCAGAGTGGGTCGCTGTTGCCCAGGATGCTGAGCAGCTCGTCGTCAGAGATGAAGAAGAACCTGGGGAAGGCGTTCCTCTTGGAGTCCAGGTAGTCGTTCAGGCTCTTCTGACACTTCTCCAGCCCCTCGCTGATGTGCTGCAGGTCGCTCAGGCGGTTGGGGGCCTCGCAGCACCTCTTGATCACTGGGTCCTTCAGGGTCTCGCCCATGATCTGGACGGGACAGGAGAGAGCCGTCACCCCACACCCCTTGGGCAGGGGCACTTCCCCAGGTTCCTACACAGGCACAACCCCGTGGGAGGCCAGCAGTCAGCACCTCCGCAAGTCCAAGTCACCCTCCCTCCCTCCCTCCTGGAGGCCAGCCGCATGGCAGGTGCCTGGCTCCTCCAGCAGGGTGCGCTGTACACACAAGAGCATTCGCTAGGGCACCTTGCACAGCAAAAGGAGGGTGAGGGGCATGGTGGACATGCCCTGTCAAAAGTCTGACCACACAGAAAAGGGTAAATAATTAGCTGGGACAACTTAGATATTCACTGATTGAAATATGTCAAAGATGCAAAATGAAAAAAAACTCGGTTATATTGGTAAGAATGATCCTGTTGTCGCAGGCTGCTTATTTAGTTATCTACACTGATTTGCAGGCGTACACAGGATAAGCCTCCTGCAAAGGTGTTCAGGTGTTAAAACAATTATCTTGGGGCTGGGGATGTGGCTCCGTGGCCTGGCATGCTCGAGGCCTTGGGTTTGAGCCCCAGCACTGTACGAAATAAAACAAAAAGTAGTTTAACTTGGGTAAAAGGATTGTTGGTATTTTTTTCTTTTGTTCTTTTTTGCTTTACTTGTAAATCCTCCTATAATGAATTTGGATGTTATCTGTTTTGGTTTTTTCCTTCAAGTTTTAAGACAGAGCTTGGGCCAATAGGTAAGAAAAACATCATGAACTCTAGGGGATGAAGGAGAGAAAACACCAGCCAGCCACCTGTCCCTGCAGCTGGGAACACAGGGGTGAAGCTAAGCGGGATTTGAGGGCGGGTAGTCCTCATCTAGATCGCCAGCTCTGTTTACCAGCAGGAGAGCCCAGGGCAGCCTGGAAAGGACCCAGGCAGAGTGACACTTTGGGGTCGATTTGCTTCCTAACAATCTAGTGCCAAATAGGCAAACAGCATTAGACCTGCTCTTTACAAAAGAGAGATTCTGCTCTAACAAAAGGTGCAGTCAAGAGAGACCAATCAATGAAAGCAACGTCAGGCCGCGCACACCGGACTATCACGCAGAGCTGTTAAAATATTTCTTCGGTACTTTCATAATATGAAATGTTTTATATAATATTAAACGAGAATTTTAAGATATAAAATTGCATGTGATACCATTGGAACTGCTGTTTGAACCTGTACACACAGGGAGGATTTCCAAGCGCTGGGCAGGCTGAGAGCCTCCTATCAGAGATGCTCCGGGTCTCAGGTTTTGCTCAGAGTTGGAGCATCTGTAGGTACGTGCTGAGACCCCCTCGGGATGGAACCCAGGCCCAAGCAAGAAGCTCACACGTGTTTCAGGGTGTGAAACACGTGTGAGGTATCTGAGGTGCTCTGTCCCTCCATCCAGACTATGCCCAGGGCTTGAAGGTAATTACATATTTTAAGACAATTTCTTGCAAAGTTTCATAGTGTGGAATTTTCCATCTTGGCATCATCTGGGTGCTCAAAAAGTTTCAGGTTGTGGAGCATTTGGGGTTTTCAGGTTAGGGGTGCTCAACCTGTATTGAAGGTTAGAGCTGCCCCCTGAGGGTGAAGGGACCATGGGCAATGCATTTTCTGCATTTCCAAACATTTTTTTAAGTAAGAAAACATTGCTTTTATGATTAAAAAAATAAAAATAAAAATTCGGTGTCATATGCCAGCAGCCAAGAATCAAACAGGATTTTTTACTAAACAGATTAAGGTCATGACTGAAAAAATTCAGAGACCACCAATGGAGAAAGTGCATGCAAATTAGAAGCAAAGGCATCTCCTGTGTCCATCCCTCCATCCAGACTACACCAGGCGCCCGTCACTTGCCCTTTTAAACACTCGGTCAATGTTGTCAAACTTTTTCGCCTCATCGGGAAGCTGAGATCTGATGTCTCCACCAATGAAGATGCTCTCGAGATACATCCATTTTCTCTGGACCAACATCCAGATCTGAAAATGTACGACGGTGATGTCAACAGGGGGGACCAGGAACCATGAGGAAGGGATGGTGAGATCCCACCCACCCCGGGACCGTCCGGATCTGCTCAGTCCAGGACTCCGCAGGCCAGGGAGCACTGAGCACATGCAGGGCTGTGTCCCCTCTTATCGGCAGCATCCCTTCCAAGGTTTCTGTTACCCATGGTTAACTGCAATTCAAAAGGACAGCGAGTTGTTCTGAGAAAGAGACCACATCCCACTGGCCTTCATTAGGGCAGCTTGCTAGGGCTGCGCTATTTTGTGAGTAGTTGCTGCTGTTGATCTCTTGCTGCCCGTGACGCGTAAGTTAACCTTTATCAGAACTGTGTGTGTAACGTAAAAAACAGATCACACAGGGTGGGTACCATCTGGTTTAGGGCATCCTGGGAACATGTTGGGACGTATTCCCTTGAGGATAAGGGGGGTGGGGGGACTATTGAATGGGAATTCTGGAAAAGGCCTAACAAGCTATTTTAAAATAAACAGCTCACATTCAAAAGCCAAAGAAAATACTCCATGCCCATGCAGGAAGGGGAGGAAACTTCCAGCCACAAGCAGAGTCTGGAACCCAAGACCCACAACAAACAAGGGTCCCTACCTGTGCAAAAGGCTGCTCTGCCTCTAGGTGCAGACCCAGAGAGCCAAAAACAGAGATTCTAAGAAGTAACTGCACAGGTGGCTCTTGGAAGCTGGTCATCATACCAAAGAGGGAAGTGACATAAATGTCCATCAGCCTGAATGGACAGACAAAATGTGGTCTCTTCATACAATGGAGTACTACTCTGCTATAAAAAGGACTGAGGGACTGGGCTGAAACTCAGCAGCAGAGTGCCTACCCAGTTTGTGCAAGGCCCTGGGTTCCATCCCCAGCACCTCAAAAAAAAAAAAAGGACATAAAAATTAATATGTTTGCCAGCTGGCACTGTAGCTCAGTGGCAGAGTATCAGGGACTAGAAGGAAATTCTCCTTCAAAGGTTAGCCTAAGAGCCCCCTGGAAGACATCCTGCCTGGGAGGCATCCTGCAGCTACCTATCTCCCTGGAACATCCTGCGGTTATCAGGATCATCAGACATCTTGCAGCTGGCAGTTTTACCACCCACATCCAGCAATTGCGGAGTCCTTCCCCATCCCCAGCATATGATCCCATATCCAGCAATTGCTGATTAGAGAGCTTCCCCATCCCCAGCATATAAATACCCCTGTGTGAACAATAAAAGTTTGCAGCTTGATCAGACTCCTGTCTTGCTGTCACCTTTCGTGTCTCTTGTCCCTTCATTCCTCCCCATCTAGGTTCGCTGCCCACGTTGATGTGTCCTGCCGGACGCGACAGCAGAGCACTTGCCTAGCATGTGTGAGGCAATAGGTTCGATCCTCAGCACACATTAAAAATAAACAAATAAAATAATGATATTCTGTCTATCTACAACTACAAAAAAATGTTTTAATTAATGCTTGCCAATGTCAGTATTAACGAAGAGCAAGACAGTATTAAAGAAGGACAGGACTGCATTGAGAAAAATTAAGAATCAGAAATTAAAAATACATTCATCACAAATTAAAACTCAGATAAACTCCTCCTTGGAGAAGTTGGGAATGCCTAGAAGTGCACTCCTCCCCCAAAGAAATCAAGACCAAAAAATGTATAAAAAAGGATCATCCATTTCTAAGCACAAAATATTCTCATATAAAGGTCTTTTCCTGCTATGAACTGGCTTTGCTCCATCTTTTGTCTCTGTGCTCACCTCAATGACTTCCCCTATGAGAGAAAGCGTTTTTTCCCATTTGTGAACAGTTTGCAGAAACGGGCCCACGAATCTGCTTCCCGAGATGCTCTGCAGATTGACAGTGTTGTCATCAAGACTCTGAATGATTTCGTCCACAGATCCCAATATGTAGCCTCGCTCCTGGGTGCCTTTGTAATACTTGAGCACGTTGAATTTCATATTTTCCCATGTGTCCAGAATATCCTTCACAGCCTGGTCAGAAAATTTTTTAAAAAGATTCATAAGTTGGGAAAATGGAACCCCAACCCAACAACCACCTCCTCAGCTTCCTTTGATCAGCACCTCAACTGGGGTCCTGGAGCAATCGTGTGAGAAGTCAAATGATACCATGGTAGCATCGGTCACCACGTATCAAGAATGTGCTATGTACCAGGTAAGCATGTTACAGGTATGACCTTGCTGGGTCCTCAAAGCAACCTCCTGGCAGGGGTGATCATCAGAGGGACTCGGGCTCAGACAGGCAAGGCAGCTTGCCAAGATTGTGCCCAGTTCTCCCAGAACCAGGCTTGACTTCCACAGTCGGCCTCAGGAGCCTGCAAGGTTATGGGGTCCTGCCCCTGGGCTGACTCTATTGCTCAGCCAAAAATCAAATTACTCAACAGTGTGCCCATGAGCATTCCATTTGCCAAAAACTCTGGTGTGTATGTACGTGTATGCATATGTATTTATAATATGTGTAATTGTATGTGGATATGTTATGGTAGATGTGCATATCTTTATGTGTGCACATGCAGCCTGTGTGTGAACACGTATGTAAATGCAGTTTAGAGGCAGGAAGAGCATTCACCCAAAGGGTAGTGATAGCTGCTAGGGCGGCAAGATCATGAGGGATTTGGTTTCTTTTCTGAACGTGCCACTGCGAACATCCATTGCTTCTATCATGAGTGGGAAGAGGAACAACAGGAGGGACAAAGGAGCGCTCACCAAGGCAGAGAGTCTATTTCTAGAACAAATAGTTCCTTGTGACTCAGACGCAGCAGACACTGGAAGGAACGCACTCTCTGCTGGAGAACAGGCAGCCTCCCCGCTGCCCGCACTGCTCGGGCTGCAGTCCTACCTTCTCGATGGCCACCTCCTTGACGGCCGCTGTGACGATCTCATTGAGGATATCCGTGTGCTTGTCCAGCTCCATAGCAAACATGTTTTCCAAGGTGAACGTTTCGGTCATTTCGAAAAAGACGCCTGTTTTTTCCATGAGCTCCTTCCAGTGCCTGCAAGTGCATCGACACTGAGACCTCATGCTTGTCGACGTCAGTGACGGATCCACGCACGCGTCCCCACTAAAGCCACAGGACAAGTCCCTCCAAGAAAACTTCTCGTGATGAAATTCCGCAACATGAGGAGTTCACCAGAACTATATCCCCACCTGTTTTCCCAAACCCCGAAGTCTGTAAGCCCAGGGACCACACTGACTTTTGTTGTAAAAAACAAAAAAAAACAAAAAACAGAGCAGGCCAGAAAGAAGGTCACCATCTGCATCCCTATATCCCCAGCTTTGCCCGGGAACTGACAGGACGTGGGGCGCCGTGACCAGGTGGCGGGTTAGGGGGTCCGAAGACTCAACATCACATGACACCAAGTCACCCAGGTACAAGGTGACCCTGTCAGTCCCCGTCCTTCTAATTATGTCAAAGGGCAAGTCTCAGCTGGCATGGCTGAGTCTGTAATGCCTCGTCACTGTCACCCACCATCCTTATTGCCCTAAGCAGGACGGGCAACAGGTCTGAGCTAAATTTTTTTTTTGTACCAGGGATTGAACTCAGGGGGACTGGACCCCTGAGCCATGTCCCCAGCCCTATTAGCGCCTTGCCTTTGCTGAGGCTGGCTTTGAACTCTTGATCCTCCTGCCTCAGCCTCCTGAGCCACTGGGATTCCAGGTGTGCGCTGCTGTACCCAGCTGAGCTAAATTTTTTAAAAATCATTTTAATTAAAAAAACTCCTTTTTGTTTCTGGTAGGTGCTGTTAGCTGTCCATTCACAGTGGTGACCTAAGTTTCTTTTTAGGATATGTTCATTTAAGTAAAAAAGAAAGAAAATTATGGGAAAAAAAAAACAGAGCAGGTCAGTGATGCTCAGTGACACAGGGTGGGGAGCCAAGGGCTGCGGCCGTGAGCTAGAAAACGCTGGCGCCAGTCTCACGTGGGAGAATGCCCCCGTGTGCAAAGGTGGGCAGAGAGCCCGTGTCACTGGGCCTCGGTGACTACCTTCAAGGGATAAGCGGTGAAGCGGGTGTTGGGGGCTGGCAAGCATCTGAGGGAGAGGTACAGATGTAAGCAGGGGCACTGGGAGGATGTGGAGACAGGAGTGACTTTCCCAGTACACAAAGGAAGTCACCCACTGTTACCCCACGACCACGTGACCACACGTTAGTTGCTGTGGTGGGAAGAACACAATCCACAAGGCTGCTCCTGACCCCCGGCTGTTGGAGACACTGAGGTCGCCCTCCTCCCACTCGGGACTGGCTACTCCATCAAGCCCAACAGACCTGTGCTGTCCAGTGTGGTGGCTACTGAGCCCTGGGATTGTGCAAGCTCAAGCACAAATGCTGTGAGTATAGAATGAATGCCAGGTTTCAATGATTTGGTTTTGTTGTTGTTGTTTGAACTGGGGATTGAACACAGGGTGCTCGACCACTGAGCCATTTTTTTTTTTTTTTTTTTGAGACAGGGTCTCACTAAGTTGCTGAGGCTGGCCTTGACCTCACTGTCTCCCTGCCTCAGCCTCCCAAGTTGCTTCAATGTATTTTTTTCTTTTAAGATGAAATATCTCAGGAATAAATGTTTTATGTGGGTTTAATGTTGAAATGATGTTTTGGATATCTTAATTAAAATGTATCATTAAAATTAATTCCCGGGCTGGGGATGTGGCTCAAGCGGTTGCTCACTCGCCTGGCATGCGTGAGGCCCGGGTTCGATCCTCAGCACCACATACCAACAAAAAATGTTGTCTCCACTGAGAACTAAAAAAATAAATAAATAAATATTAAAATTCTCTCTCTCTCTCCCTCTCTGTCTCTCTCCTCTTTCTCACTCTCTCTTTAAAAAAAAATTAATTCCCTTTATTTCCTTTCATTCATTTATTTAAGGTAGCTGCCTAGAACACTGGAAATCACATACGTGAGTCCTGTGGTGTTCAGGCAGGATGGAGCTGACCAAGTCTCCTTGTTTTTTTTTCTTTTAAGCATTTGAATGAAGCCATCACAAGCCACTTTACACTGGATGTTGATGATTTTATCAAAGCCGTGTACAGACCTACCACTTGCCCATTTACAGCCTGTGTCACCGCTGAAACCTTTCTCTGCCATCAGATTTAAGCAGGAACACATTTTGCACTAAAAGCCCCTTCCATGCATCCACTTGGGCAAACAGAGGACAGAAACAAACCTGTCCCTTAGTGCCTCGTGTTTCAGGTCCAGGAGTAAAGGAACTGACTCTTTGAAGGCCTTCATCTTTGCTTCCAAGTGGAAGGCCACCGTCAAGGTGCGGATGTGCCGTGGCAGCTTTCTGAGGCTCCTGAAGAACCCGTCGATGCCTTCCTGGAGGACCTGCACGTTCAGGTTCACCCACAGGGTCTGGGACCATTCTTCTTTGGCGACCTGGAAATGCACAGCAATCAGCCTTCAGGGAGACCCTTCAGAAAAGCAAAGGTAACCTGCAGGGGAGAGGGTGGCCCTATCTCGCTCAGAGTCCCTGTCTAAAGCAGGGACACCCACAGGCCCAGACCAACCTCACACACCAAGGACCTGCAACAAACACAGAAGGGTTCCACTTGTTCTAAGCCCTCCCCCAAATTACGGCTGTGTCTGAGGACATGGGCCATCCAGGGACATGCCTCCCCATCTCGAGGACAGGCGGGAAGACATGGGTCAGGGGTGGCCTGGGGGTACAGCACGGCCCGGCACACTAGCACCAGAAAGAAAGGACAAAAGAGAGAACAGAGCCCAGTCCACGTGTCTGTCCAAGAGCCACCTGACTGAGGCCAAGGCATAGACTAGAACACATTATCCCTGGTTGTCATAAAGAGGAGACTCTCTGTGCTGTTTTCCTGAGATTTAATGGAAGAAGCACTTTCTCATATCAAATCCACCACCATGGGCTCTGTGCATCTGCAGCCCTCCATCGAGGCCTGGAGGGTCATAAAACGCGTTCGACGGGAAACTGAGTTCATGGGTGATGTGGATATATGGGGCTCTACCATCTCAGCAGGTCATCTTGCTGCGCGTGTCACTGGGGAAACTGAAGCCACTGAACTTCCCTCCAGAAGGACCTCTGCCTTCCCAGCATGACCACAGGTGGATCTGTCTGTCCCCAGTTTGAGGCTACCTCTTGGGCAGACATCAAGTACACTCAAGCCATCCTCCTCCCGCCCCTCTCCTCTCACCAGCCTTTTCCTATCTCCTACAAACTCATGCCATAATTTCTCCCACCTGAAGCAAAAAAAAAAAAAAAAATCATCCTGACCCCACAGCCCCTGCACCCCGCTCCTCAGCCTCCTCTGATACAAAACTCCCTGCAACACCCGTCTGTGCTGGGCTCCTAACTCCTGCCTTCCTGTTCTCTCTGTTTTTTCTTTCAACAGCTTTATTCAGAATTAATGGCTTCATGAGCTATTTGTGCCTGGTCCAGAGATACCCAGTCCTGGTGACTGAGAGCAGCCTTGGGGTGCAGAGAGCCCAGGAAAGAGGCAGGCGTATTCAGGTTGCACAGAGAGCGGTTCACTGGGGACTTAGTGACGGAAGCACCCTTCTGGGAAGCAACAAGACCATTCCTCTCGCCCAGTGATGGCCAGGACAAAAGTGACATCATCCCAGCCCAAGATGTCAGGTACGTTCCGTCACCGCGGTCCGCAGGGCCTCGTGAACTCTAACCTCCCTCCAGCGAGGCCGAGCCCCTGGTGGACTCTACCTTCAGGCCCTCGTAGAGGTCATAGATCATCCTAAGGCCGTTCATCTCCTTCTGCACCTTGAGTAGCTCTGGGTACAACGTGATGGGAAGGTCAAAGAGCTTCTCGGCGTTGGCCAGCTCCTGGCGGTTCTTCTCGTGCTTTGCGAGCTCCTTTTCAAAAACGCCTAGGAGTTCTACACCTAGGAAATGAACACGTGGGTCAGCGAGTGGGCGACGCGCAGACGAAACGGAATGAGAAGTCCCGGATAAGGCACATAGACTGTTGCTCTGTCCACACGGGCCACAGGGGAAGCCGAACCCAGAACGATGAGACTGTCATCACAGCACCCTCCTCCCTGAAGCCACAAGGCCCTTCCTGCAAGCCCCTCACTGAGAAGACTCTAGTCCTGGCACCCGGAGCAGGCAAGGGATGAGGCGGCCACAGGCAAGTCTGAGCTGTCCCCACCACAGTCCTTTGCTGCCCTCCTCAAGAACTTCCTCGTCTCCCTGCGACGTCATGGCCCTACACTTCTCCCCCATCCCCATGGCCTTCAGCCCTCCACATCACTAACCCCCACCCAGACACTACCTGTCCAGAGGCCTTTCCAAGTACCCCAGGAGAACTGTCTCCTTTGAATCCCTGGTGGTCTGTGGCCTGTGCCAGTCTCGTGGGATTCATCAAATTCCACCTAGACTAAGAACACTATCTCCATCTTGTTGCCCTTTGGGTCAATGTACTTGAAGGGCGGGATCAAGCACAGTGTGATCAAGGGTCTCAGGCCAAACAATGAATGCCAGGGGAGGAGAGCAGCAAGGTCCCTGGAAGGAAGTGAGGTGACATCCCCAAAGGCAGAGGCTGGTGCTTACCATGCAGGTGCTACAGCAAGAATCTCTGCTTGCTGTAGCAAGAATCCTCCCTCCGGGAGCAGGCCCTACTCCCCAGCTCTCTTCTCAAAGCCTCACATGGTGGGCTCTTGAGAGTCAATGCATTGAATTAGCCCAGCTTTTCACATATGAAAAGCCATCAAGGAGAAAAGCATCTGAGGGACAACTAGATATTTAAATGGTGACACAAGTACCACCCACCACAAACTTCCTAAGCAAAACAGACCCAGCTAGCTCAGCACACCCAAGGAGGGTGACCTACCTCTGTCAAGGTCTTCACCAACAGAACCAGGGCCTTCACTGTAAAAGCGTTTTGCAAAGTTCTCTATCTGTAATTTGTAGTTCATTATTTCACCCCGAGTGATCTGAGAAAGGCAAGGTCACATTAACTCAGCGCAGTGTAAACACATTTCCCCCAGTGTCTTGACGTGGAGTGAGATGTGGAGGGTACCTCGGTGAACGTTCTCTTTATGCCTAAGAGAGCGTGATCGACGTTCAGCGCCTCGTTGAAGAGACCGACCCACATGTTCTCTATGTTGTTAACCTGTTCTTGCTCTGCTTCAGGAGGCTGATCAACAAACAGATAGTAAGTTACCCGCTATTTGGGACTGAAGTGTCCCAAGTACTTCCCAGGATTTCTGGGTCTCCCAACAGCAGCCTGAGTCATTTGAACCAGCTGAAAAAAGCTGGTTGGTATATTAAAGTTATGCTTTTATAAGTAAAATGAAACCAGGACAAAATCATTTCAAAATATAGATAGCTGGGTGCAGTGTGTAATCTCGGCTACTCTGGAGGCTAAGGCAGGAGGACCGGAAGTTTGAGGCCAGCTGGGGCAATTCAGCAAGACACTATCTCAAAAGAAAAATAAAAGAAAAATAAAAATGACTTGGGAGCTCCTTATATAGCCCAGTTGGTAGAGTGCTTGCCTCCCATGCCCAAGGCCCTGGGTTCAATCCCCAGCACACCAAAAAAAAAAAAAAAAAAAAAAATGGCTGGGGATGTAGCTCTGTGGTAGAGTGTCCCTTGGCTTAGTCCCTAGTACAATAAAAAAAAAAAAAAAGATAAATAGAGAGATGGAGGTAACCAAGAGAGTTAATCCTTTGTAAAATAAAGCCCAGTTTCAAAGAAACCTAGTCTCTTATTAGAATAGGTTATTTTGGGTTGCAATGCACCTAGCTATCCTGTCCTTCAGAAGTAAAAACAAATCTCCTCTGATGAAATACAACTTTGTCTAGAGCCTCCAATTCTTTCCACAATTCACCACATACACTGTCCAGAACTCAAACAGAAATACCAAGCTTATGAAGACACAAGGGAGCTTAAATGAAACAAAGAGACTCACAGACCACATAAACTGACCCTGATCAGACACAGAACTGAAAATGATTTTGCTTAAAAGAGAAAAGGAAACAGAAGGCAAAGTTGAGAATTTGGGCATAGAAGAGGAATTTTTTTTTTAATGGAAATTCTAGAACTGATCATGATGATGCCTGAAGTGGAGAGCTCGAGGGAAGGGCTAATGAACCGCCACCACACACCAGTCTCAACCAAGTAGAAAGTGCTTGAACCCAAGGGTGAGGTCGAAATATTCAAAATGAGCCACAGGAAGAAAAGGGAGTGGTGAGGCCCTGGTGAGCCAGCCTAATGCCCGTGGCCTGGAGAAAAGAGCACAGAAGAAAAGACCCAGAGAAAGGTGTTCATTTTCCAAAACTAGACAAAGGCATCAACCTGCAAAGTTTAAAGGTTCTACAAACCCCAACTGGGATTTTAAAAACAAAGAACCTAGTTACATCATGTTACAATTTCTGGAAACCAAACACAGAAAAAGATCTTTAAAGCAGACAAGAAGATGAGTTGGACTAGACGACCTTCAAATGCAGCACCAAAGTGGACCATTGGCTTCTCAGGTGGAACCCTGGAAGCCAGAGGAGGATGGAATGATCTCCACCCAGAGAGAGGATAAAGGAAACCAAACATTGTTTTAAAAACGACTTATCAACTGTTTGCAAGGGTGTGGAGCAACTGATATCTGTGGTGTGAATGTAAATCAGTACCACCCCTTTGGAAAGCTAGCAGAAAACAGTAAAGCTGAACATGTACATTCCCTATAACCCAGCAATATGCTGTCCAGGCTCACAGCCAATATGAATTCATGCATGCAGAAGTACAGCAAAAGTATATGCAAATATGGTCACATCAGCAATGCTCATAATATCCCAGCACCCTCTAGTGGCACAGTCGTGCAGCGGAATATTATACAGCAAAGACGGGGAATCTCAAGAAATGTAAAAGTGAGGGCTGGGGATGTGGCTCAAGCGGTAGCATGCTCGCCTGGCATGCGTGCGGCCCGGGTTCGATCCTCAGCACCACATACAAACAACGATGTTGTGTCCGCAAAAAAAATGAAAAATAAATATTAAAATTCTCTCTCTCTTTCTCTCCTCTCTCTAAAAAAAAAGTGTTCCTTCCTTTCTCTCTTCTCTACTTTAAAAAAAATAAAATAAATGTAAAAGTGAGTGAAAAAACACACCAAGGAGTATATACTTTATCATTCAATCTATATACACTTCAAAAACAGGCAAATATAATCTCTATTGTTAAAGATCTGGTAGAAGCTTCCTTTGCCAGAGAGTATTGCCTAAAAGGAAGGCTGGGAGGGGCTCGTGGGGTGTTGACAACATTGCATTCTTTAATCTCGGTTCTGACTACAGGGATGCTCACTGTGAAGATTCATCAAGTTGTACACCTGTGGTTTCTACAATTCTCCACAGGTGTGTTACGTGTCGATAAAAAAAAAAATAAAAAACTCAAACTGATAAGTATCTGGTGTACCTGATGATCAAGACAAGTTGGAAGAAAATAAAAACAGCCAATACCAGAACAGACATGAAGCATCACTACAGCCTGCTGCCACTGAAGAGGGAATGAGACAGTATGAACATGTTCATGAAATAAATTTGAAAATTTACATGAAACAGTACAATTTTTAAAAAATATAAACTTCCAGCAAAAGAAGAAGAAGAAAAACAAAACATAATCAGTAATCAGGCATCTTCATGGACACAGACGTGCATGCACTTGCACGGCCTCAGGTCCGGGAGTCAGAGCTCCAGCCTGATGCTTCTGCAGCAGATGGGCTGAAAGCCTGCAGCCCTCACCAGAAGAATGCTCAGAGCACCAATGTCCTGCAAAATTTCAGGAAGAGCCCAGAACCCCCTGAACTCATCCATGGGCTTCAAAAGCTACCACACTGGACCACCCTAACAAAGACTAATTGAATTATCATGTACCAGTTTCATCTCCCTCACCTCTCATTTTTACAAGAGCCTTTTATTAAAGAAACTAAACACCCAGAAAAAAAAAAAGAAAGAAAGAAAAGAAAATGAAAGAAAGGATACAGGAGAAATGGTGTGCAGTTACAGACTGGTATACAAAACTACCACATAAGCTATGCAAGGTCAAGAAATAACCTCTAGCCGGGCGCAGTGGCACATACCTGTAATTACAGCAGCTTAGGAGGCTGAGGCAGGATCATGAGTTCAAAGCCAACCTCAGCAACTTAGTGGGGCCCTAAGCAACTCAGTGAGACCCTGTCTTAAATAAAATATAACAAGTACTAGGGACATGACTTAGTGGTTAAGCACCTCTGGATTCAATCCCTGGTACCAAAAAGAAAAGAAATAACCTCTAAGTTTAAGTTATTCTAAATATCTACAGGTTGCCTTGCGTTGGTGATGTATTACTTAAAGTCGCCTACTTGGATGCAAATATTGGGCAGTATACCTGAGAAGGATTTCTGAAAAGGGTCCCAGGAGCCAACCCCAAAATGCAAAATATGTAAGAAAATAGTGGTTGACTTACAAAGATTTTATACATGGCCAGGGTCCGGTAGCGCTCCTGGACGTCCTTGTATCTTAGTTCCATGACCAAAGATTTACTTTTAATTTCTGCAATTGTTGCAAGAACGAACTTGAGCTCTTCAAGGGTGCTGGGACTCTTCTTAAGATTTTTGGACAGGGACTACGAGAGAAAGAAAGTTCCAAGGACAGTGAACAACTGGAAGAGCAGAACAGTGCCAGGACAAGACCCACCTCCACCAAGTGGGGTTTCAGAGGAAGGCAGCAGCAGGGAGGGCACCTCAATCTCTTCTTGGAGACTTTCCAGCTCCTCCTTAGCCGACTCATTGAGGAGCCTCCCCAGTGACAGCACCCAGGACTTGGCATTTTCCTGTACAGTACTGGCCAGTGGTCCCAGCTGCAGTCTGATGCAGTGCTCATCCTTGACCAGCGGGTGGCGCATCACATCACCAGCAATCTTGGAATAGAACTGCAGCTTTTCATCGTAGGCCACACAAGGAGGTCTCTTGGCAGCAAATTTCTCCATCACAATAGCTTTGTCCAGTTTCCAGAGGGGTCGATAGCGCTTCCACCTCTGCAGGTACTTCATGAGATTGATCAGCAGCCTGTGGACATTTTGGGGGATCATGACAGCTTGCTCAATTATCTGAGGGTTCACGCAGATGTCATTGTGGAAGCTTATTATAACAATTTCTTCTTCCTCCCCCTTCTGGGGTGGGCATTGTATGCAGCTGCCATTCATCCATCGCACAAAATGCTGGCAAGATCAGAACCAGGGGAAAGACAGGATTTTAGTATCTGCTCCTTCTCCCATAGACATGTTGGTATTCAGCAAGAAGTCTTGCTACTAATGGAAAATCACTTTATTATTAATAAGTTTTCCAGATTGCAAAAATCCCCACCATCAAAAAAATCTGCTTCCCCAGCATGACTCAGCTCTTGCAACTCCACTTGACCAGCAGGCAAGGGGCAGAAGGGGGCCTTATACAAGACCCAGGCAGGGACTCAAGCCCTACAGCCCATGCTTTTCTGCTCTGCAAACCTTGGGACCAGCAGCAGGCCAAGTTGAGCCAAGCCAGATACAAGAGAACCAAGATGCCCAGTCCATAGCCTACTAGTCATCATAGCTGTGAGTGGCCCCCAACTGGCAGACAAAGCCAAGAGTCTATGAGTGAGCACAACAAAGGCCCCAAGGTGCACTAAGAAGAACCCAGCCCAGGAACCTCAAGCTACATACATAGTTACCATTTTTCACCTCTAAGGGCTGGAGTGGCTTGTAGGCAATAAAAGCTAACTGTGGCTTGTAGGTTATAAAAGCTAAGTGGATAATAGATAAACAAGACAACCTTTGCTTCCATATTTACATATGAAAAAACACAAATCAGAACATGGCGGCAGGCACGGAAAGATCAAGTCTCTGACCTCTTCAGCTGTGCAGGTATAGGGAGTCATAAACAGTCTAAATGCTGTTTTCTCAGGATCACTAGGCAATGCTGAGCTAACGTGGATCTGGGGCGAACAGTCTGGGCCTCTCAGAACACACACTGAGCCCGGATCGGCTGAATTCAAGCTCCCGTTCACCTGCTTCCCGCAGACAAACAGCTGTGACTCAGCACTAATCCATCCCGCTGAAATAACTGGTCGGCCCCTCTGATCCTACGGAGGTAAATGCCAACAGAGCCTTCATAGGCAGTGGCCACAGGATTGAAACGGGGCTTGGAAGAGACAGTAAGGACCCACCCGTTGCATTGGTCACCCGGCAAAGGGAAACGAACTGTCGCCATTTGCAAGAGATACCACCATGGCAGAGAACTGACATCACCAGACTGCAGCGGAGGAGATAACTTCATTGAAACCTGTGGCTACAGGTGTGTAATCCCCTAGCCTTCCCTCTCCACACATCGGGGAAACCTTAAGGGCCCCTCCCAGCTCTCC